TCTTTTGAAGGTTTCAGGGGCTGTGAATTGTGGCACTGTGGATAAAGCTGTCCCTTGGTGTCGCTCCCCCTCTTCGTGGAGGAACGACACAGGACCCTGTGCTGTTCTTTCGTCTGCTCGGCCCTCCCCGGGTTTGCTACTGGTTCTTCCCGGGTTGGCTACTATCCCTTCCACCTCCGTGGAAGGGCAGTTCCCCCTGGCCGCATTCCCCACTTCCGCAGGGGAGCGGCACACCGCCGGCCGGCTTTCTCGGGGGCTGCACGGGTTCCCTTAGATGTTCCCCATAGATGTTCCTGGTGCATGTCGTCTCTCTCCTCCTTTATAGTCCTCCTCCGCCAATCCTAACTCGGCTGCCCACACGCCGAGTACGCTGCTCTCCAATCAGGAGCAAGTCCTACAGTTTATTGGTTGAACTGGAGGCAGCTGGGTAGAAGCTGTTTTCTCCTCTCCCAGCGCCATATTGTAGGAGAGCAGATGCATAGAATAAGTCTTAATTCCAGTAACTTAGTCTAGTCCGAGCTGCTCCCCACAGAGGAGAGCAGATGCATAGAATAAGTCTTAATTCCAGTAACTTAGTCTAGTCCGAGCTGCTCCCCACACCTTGGGACACCAGCATCCTCTATCAGAGCACCTGTTCAAATCTTAGCTGCTCTACTTCCAACCCAACTTCCTGTTAATGCATCCTGGGAGGTGAATGGGCCCTTTCCATCTATGTGGGAGACCCGGATGCAATTTTGGGCTCCTGGTTTTGGCCTGGCCTAGTCCTTACTATTGGTGGGCATTTTGGGAATAAACCAGCAGGTGGGAGATTTCTGTCTGTCTGTCTGTCTCTGCCTCCCTACCACCTTCCCTTCCTCCTCTTTTTCTTTTTCTGTGCCTTTCAAGTAGATGGAAGTAAATAAACATTTTGAAAAAAAGGTTTCACCAGATTTGGTTGTGCAGTATCATAGGACTTTTCAATTTCATTTCAACTCAGTTTAGAATGTAAATTTATTCCATTAAAAGTAAGAACTTAATGAATAGAAGTTTTTTTCTACAGTTGAGATATTCCATGGTTTTATTTATTTGAGTGTGAGGGTACAAGCAAGAACATACTAGCTCTCATCTGCCCACAACAAGTAGGTCTGGCCAAGTCTGAATCTGGGAGCTGAGAATGCCATCAAGTTCTCCCATGGATATGGCATGGACCAATTCCTTGAGCTGTCACCACTGTCTCCCAGGGTCTTCATTAGCTGAAGTCAGGAGCTGTAGCCAGGAATCAAATCCAGGCCCTCTGATGTTGGACATGGGCATCTTAACTGCTACGCTAAATGGCTGCTCACATCTTTTAATTCCATTTTTCATGAACTTTTTGAAGGCTTCTCATGTATTCAAAGAAAACGAATCAGTATGTGCTCCTAAATTTATTGCAGCTTTAATCACAGTAGCTAAGATATGGTATCAGTCCAAATGTCTATTCATGGATGAATGGAGAAAGAAAATGTGGTGTATATAAACAATGGAATACTAGGCAGGCTTAAAAAGGAGGAGATTCTGTCATTTGCAAGAACATGGAGGAACCTAAGTGAAATAAGCCGTGCACAGAGACAAATGTCACGTGGTCTCACAGAATAAATGGCGGTTACTAGAGGCTGGGGGCTGGGAGGATTGGGGAGATGTAGGTCAAAGGACACAAAATTTCAAGTTATGAGGCATAAGTTCAAGAGATCTATTATATATAATGGTGACTGCAGTTAACAACAATATATTACATACTTGAAATGTGTTAAGACAGTTTGATTTTAAGTGTTCTCACTACAAATAAATATGTGAGGTGAACACGTATTAAACCACTTGATCTAGCCATTCCATAATGCATATCTATCTCTCAAAATATGTCATACATCATAAAGATATAGTTTTTACTTGCCAGTTAAAAACATACAAACATTTTCAGTGTTAAATCATGTGCACATTAGGGCCGGCGCCGCGGCTCACTAGGCTAATCCTCCGCCTAGCGGCGCCGGCACACCGGGTTCTAGTCCCGGTCAGGGCGCCGGATTCTGTCCCAGTTGCCCCTCTTCCAGGCCAGCTCTCTGCTGTGGCCAGGGAGTGCAGTGGAGGATGGCCCAGGTGCTTGGGCCCTGTACCCCATGGGAGACCAGGAAAAGCACCTGTCTCCTGGCTCCTGCCATCGGATCAGCGCGGTGCGCCGGCCGCAGCGTGCCGGCCGTGGCGGCCATTGGAGGGTGAACCAAAGGCAAAGGAAGACCTTTCTCTCTGTCTCTCTCTCTCTCACTGTCCACTCTGCCTGTCAAAAAAAAAAAAAAAATCATGTGCACATTAAACCCATTCCATAATAACATATTGCTCACCTAAAAAAGAACCAAGACAAATGCTTAGTCAGGATGTCGAGATAACAGCATCACCTTGGACATTCCCAGCAAGGGCTCTCCTGTCTAAAAAGCCCCTCCTGAGACGGCCCAGCCTCATCTCTGCTACTCTGCCCACCTGTGGCCTTGGCCCACCTAGCTTTCTTCTTCAGTAGACTCATGTTATTCACTAAGGGCCTTTGCTGCTTCTCTGCCTGGAACACTTTTCCTTTCCTTCTCTATTGGCTCATTTCTTCTTACCCTACAACTCTAGACACTAGCATCAATTTCTCTTGGCATCTTCTCTCTCCAGTGTGCTCATGGTCGTAGCCCTTCCATGTCAAGCCATACCTGTTGGATTGTTCTTTTTTCACCTCTTCAAAATCATTTTCATCTAATTTCCTAGTATTTAAGAATCCTGCTCTTTGCTTCCACACTGAGTTTTTGGATAAACTGATCTGTACTAGGTGATACATTGTCGCTCCCCCTCTTCGTGGAGGAACGACACAGGACCCTGCGTTGTTTTTCTGCTCGGCCCTTCCCGGGTTTGCTGCTGGTTCTTCCCGGGTTGGCTACCGTCCCTTCCACCTCCGTGGAAGGGCGGTTCCCCCTGCCACTTTCCCCACTTCCGCGGGGGAGCGGCACACCACTGGCCGGCTCTCTCGGGGGCTGCACAGGTGTTCCTTCAGATAGATGTTCCCCTTAGATGTTCCCGGTGCATGTTGTCTCTCTCCTCCTTTATAGTCCTCCTCCGCCAATCCTAACTCTGCTACCCACACGCCGAGTACGCTGCTCTCCTCCAATCAGGAGCAGGTCCTACAGTTTACTGGTTGAACTGGAGGCAGCTGTGTAGAAGCTGTTTCTCCCTTCTCAGCGCCATATTGTGGGAGAGCAGATGCATAGAATAAGTCTTAATTCCAGTAACTTAGTCTAGTCCGAGTTGCTTCCCACAATACATATCATGACAAATTGCTTATCTGTTCCTTAAAACACATTTATACTTCACTGAGGCCCACTGGGGCAGTGGTGTTTGAAGTGGATGTGCACACACTTGAGAGTGCACAAGTTTATTTATGTAGTGAAGTGGAAGTCGTACTTTTTACTGAACAAAAATAAGAAATGAAAGGTTTCTAATATTTAAGATTTTGGTTGAGAAAGTACATGGAGGTAACTATAAATCCGATTGGAAGCTGGTACTGTATACTAACTTTTTATTAATGCAATGCTCCATCATAAGGATTTGAAGTCTCTTCTTGTAGAGGCACAGTGATGTCCCTAGAGGATACCTCTGAAAATTTCCTGCAGTAGGCCGGCGCCGCGGCTCAATTGGCTAATCCTCTGCACCCCAGGTTCTAGTCCTGGTTGGGGCGCCAGATTCTGTCCTGGTTGGGGCGCCAGATTCTGTCCTGGTTGCTCCTCTTCCATTCCAGCTCTGTGGTGTGGCCCGGGAAGGCAGTGGAGGATGGCTCAAGTGCTTGGGCCCTGCACCCACATGGGAGACCAGGAGAAAGCACCTGGCTCCTGGCTTCGGATCGGTGCAGCGTGCTGGCTGTAGTGGCCATTTGGGGAGTGAACCAATGGAAGGAAGACCTTTCTCTCTGTCTCTCTCTTTCTCACTGCCTAACTGTCAAAAAAAAAAAATTTCTGCGCTATAGTGGTTAATATATATCAGGCTAACATAATCCTATGTGACACACACTATTCCCTATACTAGACAGGCATCAACATACTCATTCTTCACAACTAATTCATGAGATTGGTATGATTATTAGCATTTTTTTTTTGGTGAAAAAATTGAGCTCAAGAATCAGGCAACTTGTTCAAGGGACAGGGCTGGTGTGTGGCAAATGCATGTAGGACTGTATGATCTGATTCCCGAGGCCAGTTGCTTGCACCCTGCTCTATACAGTACCATGCTGTGATACCTGTATGCTTCCACATGATAGACCCATGTGGTTTCCAGGAGGAAAGGCATCCTGTTTTGTTCATTGTGGTCTTCCTAATAAACAGTTCTTAAATGAATGAAGGAACTTAAGGCCTAGCATTGCCTCTGATGGGAACTTCGGATAAATATGGTTTTATTTTTAACTTGAAACCATTTTTCCCCTTGAAATAAATGGTTTTGATGAGAAATTGACAGTCCTGTGTTTAGAAACTTTACATTAAAGAATTCTGCAAGCCTCACACTGATGAGTCAGCTAGGAGTCCCAGCCTATCTTTGGTGTAACTAATAGTTTTCTTCCCTTTATCATGAAGGTATGAGAACCTAGGAAATAAACCTCAGATTCTCCATGTGTACTGTATGAAGAGTCCCTCAGACATACATAGTCTTAAAATAACAAGAGCAGCAACAACAATGACAACAAAAATGATAATGGCAAGGGGAAGCAGAATTTGCTGTTTTCTGGGTTCATCCACTGTTATCCTTTCAATCCTGAACCTTAATTATTTGTCACAAAGATATGTAAAGTTGTTTGGGTATTCTGGGCATTGATAAAATTATTTTGGTTTGATCAAGTGAGTTTATGATTCCATCTTTCATCTACATCTAAAAGAACAGAAGGAGTAAGTTTTGTATCATGTCATTGTATTCAAATTATAATGTCATATTCAAATTATAATGACTTTTTTTCTTTGTTTTCTTTTTAGGCTCTTTCAGGACACTTACTCTTCCATCAGTAAGTATCCATTTAAAAATTTTGTTTGCAGTGGGTAGGCATTTGTTGTAGCAGTTGAGATGCTGCTTGGGTCTCCTGCGTTATATCCTGGGTCAGTTCCAGAGTGCCTGGGGTTGAGTCCTGGCTCTACTCCTGATTCTAGCTTGCTCCTGATCTGTACCTTGTAAGGCAGTGGGTAATGGCTAGGGCAGTTGGGTCCCCGCCACCTCTGTGGGAAACCAGGATTGAGTTCTTGGCTCCCAGCTTTGGCCGGGCTAAGCCCTGGCTGTTGTAGGCATTTGAGGAGTGAATTAATACATGTGAGTTTTTTCTCTCTCTTTCTCTCAAATAAATAAATAAATAGGGGCCGGTGCTGTGGCACAGGGTGGTAAGCTGCCGTCTGCAGTGCCGGCATCCCATATGGGCAGCGGTTTGAGTCCCAGCTGCCCTGCTAATGTGCATGAGAAAGCAGTGAAGGATCGCCCAAAGTGCTTGGGCCCCTGCACCCACGTGGGAGACCTGGATGAAGCTCCTGGCTCCTGGCTTTGGCCTGGCCCAGACCCTGTTCTTGCGGACATTTGGAATGAACCAGCAGATGGAAGAGCTCTCTTCTCTTTCTCTCTCTGTCTCTCCCTCTCTTGCTGTAACTCTGCCTTTCAAATAAATAAATAAATCTTTAAAAAATATTTAAAATCTTAGTAACTAAAACACATTTAAAATTTTAGTGTCAGAAATACATTATATCACTGAACTATGTAAATATTTTATTGGCTTTTATATCACTTTCAATTTCTTCTGAGTTTGGTTTGAGTTTATTCAACCTTCAGGTTATTTAAGAATAGTATTATTGTAGGGAGATTGATTCTTAGGCCAAGTGATAGCTTAAAACCCCTAGTAGGGGGTTTCCTCTTGTAAAATAGAGAGCCTCACAAGGGAAACTGGCCTGGACTATTAGCATAGAGTTTTAGCTGGGCTGGTTGGGTCCTGCCCTGCCTTCATGGGCTGTACAGTCTTGAGACTGTCATTAGGACTCTGCTGCAACCTTCCTTTCTCTGAAAAGGGTAGGGCCGTGCTCAGCCATGTTGGAACTGGAGGAGAAAGAGTAAGTCCATAATACTGATTCTTTGTTTATAACTTTGACTTGCTTGTTGATAATCGTGTGATTTTTTGGGCACAATTTTGATATTTTGAACTGTCTTATGAAAGCATTATTTTCCTAATTACCGAGTTTTTTGGTATCTCTTTAAAGTTTGCTTCTGAGACAGTTGCCTCACTCACCTCACCCTAACTCTAGCCCTGGAATAGGGGATAAGTGATACCATTTCTGTTTCATAGGGATATGCTAGCCTGAGAGGAGATGTGAAAGTGTTGTAAAATTTGCTGTGGGAACGGAAAGTGGTTATTATTTTATTGAGAGAGTCATCAGACCTGATTATTAAGTGTTGTTTGGGAACTATTCCCACTTCCCATGACTTTGACTTGGAAGTTGTTGCTTAAAATAAATCCTGTGTATGGTTTTATTACCAGCTTTGTTTTGCAGTTTCATATGTTTAACATACAAGAGTTGGCCCCAGAGTCCAACAAAAGGCATGATTTGATATACTTTTCTGAGAGTAGCTAACCTATGGCTTTGGCCATGACACAAAGGATCAGTGATGCTTTGTGAACTAGAGTCAGTCATTACTTCCTGGAGGTTACTTGTCAAGCACAAGTTTGGGGTTGGGTGGGCTCCTTGAGAGTCTCATGCTCCCAAACAATACTCCTAAAACGTACTTAAAGTCCCATATCTAGTATGTTTCTTAGATTTTATTTTTGAACTTAACCTTATTAAGAAATATACTGGACTACCAACAGAAAGTGGAGAGAAAAAAAGGCATGAGTAGGCAGAAGTGGAGAGAAAATTTCTGTCTCCTTTTAAAAAAATTAATCTGAGAGGCAGAGAGTAAGAATAAGAGAAAGACGGAGATACATCTCCCATATGGATCATCACTGGTGCCTCCCAAGGTCTGCATTTACAGGAAGCTGGAATCAGGAACTGGAGCTGCACCTAGGAGTCAAACCAGGCATTGTGATATGGGGCTTGTTGACTTAATTAGCATCTTAATCACTAGGATAAATGCCTGCTCCCAAGACCTGTAATCCCTGTGAAAATAAAACATTAGATTGCATTAATATAATCTAAAAATATAACCTAAACCTCAATGCCTGTGTGTATAACTGTTGAATGGGTTATTTCCAGTGGTAAGATTAAAATAAATCCTATGTAATAAAATTTCTCTATAGCAGAAGTAGGATGGGATTTAAGTTCAGGAATCACAACTTAAAGTCCAGTAACTGGTTTTCTTAAGCAGCTGCAATTTCATAGGCTGGAATTTGAGAAAAGCTGAAAGGAAAAGAATAGGGTAAGGATGTGAGAGATTTTCACAGGAATACTACATGGTCCAAGCCATATTTGTAGAAATTCCCAATAGCTAAACTTCAGTTACTATAATTCTTTTAAGTCTTAAATATATGAAACACTAACTCTGACGTTCTATATTTGTCTTTACTATTATGCCATTTCCATTATATGTAGATTTAGCAAGTATTGATTGAAAGCCTTGCTAGATATTATATTTAGAACCATATTCCTTTTTAGTAAAGCACATTTTTGAAGACTTAGTCATAAAGTGTCTGGGTAAATTTGATACTGCTTGGCAGAAATAGAAGGGGCTATATTTTTATTAAAGTAGGCCCAACCTTTTCTCTAAGATTCATTTATTTATTTGAAAGGCAGTGCTACAGAGAGAGAGGAAAAGACAGAGAGAGAGAGAGATCTTCCATCTGCTGGTTCACTCCCCAGGTGGCCGCAATGGCCAGGGCTGGGCCAGACTGAAGCCAGTAGCCTGGATCTTCCTCTGGTTCTCCCATGTGGGTGCAGTGGACCAAGCACTTGGGCCATCTGCGACTTTCCCAGGCCATCAGCAGGGAGCTGAATAGGAAATGGAGCAGCCAGGACTTGTACTGGTACCCATATGGGATGCCTGCCTTGGAGGTGGTGGCTTTACCCACCATGCCACAATGCCAGCCCCAGAACCAACTTTTTTTTTTTGCCTGTTTGCATGCTGCTTTATTAGATACCTAAAACTGTCGGTCACCCAAGTTGTTTTTTTTTTTTTATTTATTTTTTTGAGAGGCAGAGTGGACAGTGAGAGAGAGAGAGACAGAGAGAAGGGTCTTCCTTTTTTCCGTTGGTTCACACCCCAATGGCCGCTGTGGCTGGTGCACTGTGGCCGGCGCACTGCGCTGATCCGAAGCCGGGAGCCAGGTGCTTCTCCTGGTCTCCCATGTGGGTGCAGGGCCCAAGCACTTGGGCCATCCTCCACTGCCTTCCCGGGCCACAGCAGAGAGCTGGACAGGAAGAGGAGCAACTGGGACTAGAATCGGCGCCCATATGGGATGCTGGCGCTGCAGGCAGAGGATTAACCAAGTGAGCCATGGCGCCAGCCCCCACCCAAGTTGTTTTAATATTATATTTTTCTTTCTTTTTAAAAAACTTTTATTTAATAAATATAAATTTCAAAAGTACAACTTCTGGGTTATAGCAGTTTTCCCCCATAACCAACCTCCCACCCACAAACCATCCCATCTCCTACTCCCTCTCCCATCCCATTCTTCATTAAGATTCATTTTTAATTATCTTTATATACAGAATATCAACTTAGTATATACTAAGATTTCAACAGTTTGCACACACACAGACACACAAAATATAAGGTACTGTTTGAATACTAGTTTTACCGTTAATTTGCATAGTATAACATATTAAGGACAGAGATCCTACATGGGAAATAAGTGCACAGTTACTCCTGGTGTTGATTTAACAATTGGCACTCTTACTTATGATGTCGATAATCACCCGAGGCTCTTGTCATGATCTGCCAAGGCTATGGAAGCCTCTTGAGTTCACAAACTCTGACCTTATTTAGACAAGGCCATAATCAAAGTGGAAGTTCTCGCCTCCCTTCAGAGAAAGGTACCTCCTTCTTTGATGGCTCATTCTTTCCGCTGGGATCTCACTCACAGAGATCTTTCATTTAGGTCATTTTTTTCCACAGTGTCTTGGCTTTCCATGCCTGCGAAACTCTCATGGCTTTTTAGCCAGATCTGAATGCCTTAATGGCTGATTCTGAGGCCAGAGTGCTGTTTAGGGCATTTGCCATTCTAGAGTCTGCTGTGTATCCCACTTTCCATGTTGGATGGTTCTCTCTTTTTTAATTCTATCAGTTAGTATTAGCAGACACTGGCCTTGTTTATGTGATCCCTTTGACACTTTATCCTATCTTTATGATCAGTTACGAACTTAAACTGACCACTTTAACTAGTAAGATGGCATTGGTATGTGCCAACTTAATGGGATTTGGAGTCCCATGGCATGTTTCTAGCTCTACAATTAGGGGTAAGTCTGAGGAGCATGTGCCGAACTGTACATCTCCTCCCTCTCTTATTCCCACTCTTATTTTTAACAGGGATCAATTTTCAGTTAAATTTAAACACCTAGGAATATTTGTGTGTTAATTAAAGAGTTCAACCAATAGTATTAAGTAGAACAACAACAACAACAACAACAAAACTAAAAGGGATAAAGTATTAAGTTGTTCATCAATAGTCAGGGCAGGGGCTGATCAAGTCACTGTTTCTCATAGTGTCCCTTTCACTTCAACAGGTTTCCTTTTTTGTGCTTGGTTAGTTGTCACCGATCAGGGAGAACATATGATATTTGTCCCTTTGGGACTGGCTTAATTCACTCAGCATGATGTTTTCCAGATTCCTCCATTTTGTTGCAAATGACCGGATTTCATTATTTTTTTTGACCACTGTATAGTATTCTATGGAGTACATGTCCCATAATTTCTTTATTCAGTCTACTGTTGATGGGCATTTGGGATGATTCCATGTCTTAGTTATTGTGAATTGAGCTACAATAAACATTAAGGTGAAGACAGCTTTTTTGTTTGCCAATTTAATTTCCTTTGGGTAAA